ACACTTAAGATAAACAGCCTGAACCCTGAGCGAGACCGAGCAAAACCCAAGTTTTTGATCTATAAATAGGATTTAGCCGAGCAAGAACCTGTTTGTGGTCTTGTTTTGAGGCCGAGACCAAGCTGTAAGAAAGGGGGCTAGAACCGATCTAGGAAGGCCAAGTCGGCCACATAGTGAAGCCGAGATAAGAAAATTGAACCGATCAAACGCCCCAGATAGTGAAGCCGTGCAATTTATGCCACGTTAATCCTTGGACTTGTTTCTTAATAATGCAGAACAAACTAGGACCGACCAGGCCTGTTCAGCGTTACAACCGGTGAAGCTCAAAGTCCGAGCAAACATTCACCAAATTTTTACCGAGATACGACCTAAATCAACCAACTAAATAAAACCGGGATAGATGGGGAAGTACCAGTTCATGGTGAATTCTCCGGGGGCACCGGCCGAGTTCCGTAGAGAGTACAATATTCCAGATGATGTCCACTTGGAGCTCGCCAAGAAAGGAGACACTCCCTGGGGCGAGCTGGACAAATGCCCCTTCACGGTGGTGTCCATTGTAGAAAGAGGCTTGCGCTTCCCAGTCCAACCCCTAATCTGCAAGTTTTTAAGGCAGACTAGGCTGTGCCCGACCCAAGTCTCTAACAATACATACAAAATAATAAACGGCGTGGCCGAACTAAATAGAATTCAAGGGTGGGGTCAGGCGTCTCCACCAACTCTTCTTGGAACTCGTCATCGTCACATTTATTTTTCTCGGGGCCATACTCCCAAGGTATGAAGCCTGGCCTCCAAGACCATTCATAGGTAGTAAACTGTCTTACCGCTCTCCCGCACCTTAACAATCTTGGGCGAAGGACTTGTGGACTTGCTGCTCCTCTTCTGCCCACTACTTTCTGGAGCAGCCTCTGCATCCCGAATGCCTTCCTATTTTGGCAATTTTACTCCTGCAACTTTACCGGTCCTTGGAGTTTCACCCGTTAACAACTCAGTAAAGAAAACTGCATTCGAATAGTGTCCCTCCTCAACCCCAAATGGCTGTTCAGACGCATTTATATGGTTATTGTGCGCTTTCCCAACTTTGCCTTCACACATTAGTGATAACTAGACGGGATAGCTCCATATCGGTGCATCCAAGCTCTACCAAGTATCATGTGGCAATTTGTGTCCGCTTCAATCACATGAAACTTGGTTGCGGAACGGATCTCACCAATTCCTAGGTCCACGACCACATGGCCCTTGGTATCTTTTTTCTCGCCGCCAAAACCCATCACAGTGATGGGTTGGCGAACCATCCCAGACTCTAGGATACCAGCCTTTGCAAAGGTGTCAGTAGTGATGATGTTTATAGACGCCCCCGCCATCAAGGAAATCACGCTTGAACTCTACATCATTGATGTATGCTGTGACAAAAAGAGGACGATTATGGGAAAATAGGTATGCTCTATCTGCCTCTGAAAAAGTAATGGCACCATAAGCTTCCTGGATGCGCCGAGGCACATACTCCTTAGCCTTAGCAACTTCATCATGGTGCACTTCAAAGATATTAATGAGGGCTTTTGTTGCTTCCAACCTGGCGGCTTGGCTCAGCCCCAACTGGTCAAACAAGGCGCGAAACTTAACAGAGTTTTGCAAGGCCTGGGCATTAGCATCCTCTGCGAATTTTGCCTCTACAAGTACTGTCTCAGGGAGTTGGCCGGTTGCAATTTCTTCTAACTCATCATAGTAAGACGCCATATGCACTTGATCACGCACAAGCCCGAGATAGCCAATCATATATGTACATTCTTCCCCTTCTCCTTGTGGTTAGGACAAGGGACCTTCCGCACATCACGGTTACCGGCATCTTTGAACTTCAACTCATTTGTGTCAACTTTCTTCTTGAAGATACTTTTCAAAGTCCAACAGTCCCCAGTAGGGTGTCTGGTGGTTCTGTGATAGACACAATAATCCGGGCTTTCTTTGTCCTTGGTTGGAGGGACTTCAACTAGAGGCAAGGTAAGTTCACCATCAGCTACCCATTCTTTAACCAAAGCCTTAACATTCTCAAGGCTGCAAAGGCATAGATTTCAGTCCTCATAACTCTCTCTCTTCCGAGAGGACGTCGCCTCCCCTTGCGAGCGGCTCCCTCCTGCAGGGGTTACCGCAGCAACTCTGCTACTGCTAGGGTAACGGTGGCTGTCACGAGATCTGTGCAAGGAACCAGTGGTACTGAGGTTCCTAGCTGCCTCAATCAAGGCTGAAATGATAAGCGGATTATGATTCACCAAGAAAATTTTGTAGTCGCGTATGGCACCCCACACATATGCTGACTAAATAGGCCTCATCCACTGGTTCATGACAGTCAATAGCCTTATCTTGGAACCGCTTAACATAGTCCAGTATATCTTCGCCCTCCTTTTGGACATCTCGCCCAAGGGTGAGGGTTGTAACTTTCTCTTACTTGGAAGAACTTCGTGTGGAACTTGTTCACCATCTCCTCCCAACTCTTGATCGAGTTGGGAGCCAAGTTCACATACCAGCTGCAAGCCCTTTCAGTAAGTGGACTTGGAGAACTCCCGAAGGCGCAGAGAGTGGTCACTGCCATGGACACCAAGAGTTTCTATGAACCTCACCACCTGTTCTCTGGCATTGCCTTGTTTCCCATCAAACTTAATAAACTTGGGCACTGTATACCCAGTTGGGTATGGCATGATTAATATCTCCTGAAAGATGCCACGTGTCCTTCTGCATGTACTGTGTACTATCTGTTTGCCTCCGCAACTACCTTTTTGAGCCTCAGCAAGTGTCATTGCGATGGGAGTGTTTAGCGCTGCAACTCCCTCTTGAGCCTCAGCAAGTGCAGTTGCGACGGGAGCGTTTGCCGCTGCACTTGCCTTCTCAGCTCGAACCTCAGCAAGTGCACTTGCAGCGGTAAACTTTGGTGCTGCACTTGCCTTCTCAATTCTACTTCGCCACTACATGCATTCTCAGGACTCCATTAGTCTGCTATCGACAATGTTCGTACTCACCGCAGCGAAGCCTTCACCCTTAGCCACCTAATCACAAACTCCCCAGCTTCCCCGGGCGAAGGCCACAGCCAAGCCTGCTATCAGCCGTGTTGTGCCTTAGCACCAAGCCCAAGGGGCTTCCTTAGTCCTGCCTGTGCGACTAAGGCAGGTCTATGACCTGGGTAATGGAAAGGGAGTCCCTTATGCTAGGGCTACCCTGCTCCCGTCTTCGCGGGATCATCGCGGTAAACTGGTACCCTGGGCCTGCTATCAGCCCTGGGCTAGTAATGCCTTGGGGCCTGCTATCAGCGCCTGACATTACCCTCTCCTTGCAGAGGGGAAGCTTTTGCCAGAGGCTGCTATCACCTTGCCGGGATATTCCCTCCGCAAGTTGGTTGCGGCGGCAGTAGTTGCTGCTGTAGTCCTTTCCCGTGGCAAGTTCAAATGGCATAACCGACAATATTGGAGATGGCAACGCCGACAAAGTGCCTCTGCAACTTGGGCGCCTCTACAACTTAGTTGCTTCGGTTCTCTCCTTCCCTCAGCAACTCCAGGTGGCGACGGAACCGAGAATACTTGGAATGGCGGCGCTAAGACAAAGTGCCTCCGCAACTTGGTCGTCGCAACTGTCGCCTTTGCAACTTAGTTGCTTCGGCTTTCTCTTTCCCGCATCAACTTTGGATGGCAGCGGAGCCAAAGATATTAAGAATGGCTGTGCTGAGGCAAAATACCTCGGCAACTTCCCTGCTGCATGTATTCCCTCTGCAATTGTGTTCCCGCTGCAACTTGACTTGGTCATTTTCCTTCGTGAAGTCTGTTTGGACCCTTGGCGGGTCGGACCTACTCCGGCCCACTATTGGCCCACTTCCCTTGGACTTTAGCCCATGCTCCTTTTTCATTCCTGGTCGCCTCTTTGGGGCGACCTCAGTACTTAGGCCCACACTTAATTTGGGGTTTAATTTCTGACCCTCTACAAAAACAGAACGTAGTGGCTAGAAGTAGTGCTGAAGCTGAATTTAGATCAGTGGCTCATGGAATTTGTAAAGCTTTGTGGATCGAGAGAGTATTGGAATTTGGAAGACTTAAAAATTCCAAGAACATCACCAACGGAAGTTTACTGTAACAAGAAGGCAGCAAATGCAATTGCTCATAATCTTGTTCTTCACAACAGAACTAAGCATATGGAAGTCGACAAGCACTTTATCAACGAAAAGATTGAGAAGGAATTGATCTACATGTCTTATATACCCACTGTGGAGCAGATTGCAGATGTTCCTACAAAGGAACTACTCAAGAGGCAGTTCGACCACCTAATCTACAAGTTGGCCATGGAAGACATATTCAAGCCAACTTGAGGGGGAGTGTTGGAAATGGGAAGAAAATAATTCTGCCAGGATATGGCTGAATTCTTTAGGATATCACAGCTGTAAATATCTAGATTTAGTCAATACTATAGAATAGGAAAGTTTATATTTAGAATTAGAATTAGTAACTAAATAGTAGCTAATCAGTCCTCAGAATCAGTAGCTAATCAGTCCCTTATTTTATGCCATGTATCTCCTATTAATAGAGATGTTGTGTGTACATTGTTTAAATATGAGAATAAGAAATATTATTCTTTCTAGCTTTCATTCAAAATAATAAAATCCAGTTTTCCAACTAGTACCAAGCATGTAGATTTTGAATTTCTGAACAAATTTAATTAAGGCATTTCAAAATGGCCTATTTGACTGATCAATAAATTAATGGAAGGAAAATAACACGGTGCAGCTGTTAATAGAGTAAGTAGAACTTCAATTGGCGAACAATAATGCAAGACCCCAAATGTTCTAGCAAACACTCACACGGGTGTTGGTCCCACACCCATGTGAGTGGTAGATTTTTTGGTAAATTTTTTCGTATTCCTAGGCATTTTGCTCATTGGTGAAATATGACTAGAGACGAAAACCACAAAAGAAAGACACGAAAAGGAGCATAATGTAACTACTAGGGAATCCTGAAAAACAAACTCACTTGGTAAGTCAACGAGAGATGGAAATAGTTGAACAAATGATCCAAGAGACATCAATGCTGGAAGCACACTTAGAAACGATTTTTCTGATCTGCATCAAAAAAGAAAACAGAAAAAAAATATATGTATGAAAGTCAGTAATGCCCTTCACTGCAGATTAAGTCCACAGTATCTCCAAAAGCATTCTTTTAGATCCTCCTTTTTGAAATTAAACATATGTGTTTAGTTGTCAAAATTTCCATTAATCTCAATCAATTTCAATACGAAATTACTATACCATATTTTGTTCCAACAAGGTCGGGACGGTGCATAATAACTTTAAACATACAAAATAAGATGTGGCATCACATAAGCAACGAAATTTATTTCTGAAGTAGCATTGACAAGACAAAAATAAAATAAAACTACAATTATGAATACCAATATATATGAAGGGTCTTGCTAAAAAGTGTCCTGGGACACGAAAAGTAGACCAAAAAATAAATTTGAAAACACAAGACACTTCTTATTAAATTCAATGCAGTTTTTATTGAAATTAATGCACTTCTTTAAACTATTTGACCTATTTTCAAGACAATTCCATATTTCAATTCCAATATTCATCACTTTTAGCATTTGTCATATACAAATATCAAGTTATAAGGACACAACAATTGCACGAATTATAACTAAGATCATTCCAATAAAATAAATGAAATATATCTTTTAAGAACGGAACCAAAAAGATGGCACAAGGAACTTACTTCTCTACATTTCATGAGCTTTAGCATTAATGGGAAAAACTACAAATGCAAGACTGATGTTAGAGAAAGATAAGTTACCAAAATATTTGATATACATGTTTCATATTTCTTCTTTTCTACTTCTAAATCTGAAAATTCAGTCAAATAAAGAAACTAAATCCTATGCAAAGAATCATGCCAATCTCAAATCATACCTAAGGGAGTAATGTAGAGAAATTAGTTAGAAATTTTCTCTTGTTAAGATTTCGAAAGTCCAATGTAGCAGCAACAACAGGGTCTAAAAATTCACTGCAATCAAACATTGGAAGAGTGATTTTCAAATATGATTTATCATATGATATGCATAAATAGAGAATAATTGTTAGATGAAATCATAATTTCATTTTTTCCCCAAAAATAAACTATTGTGAAAGGACTACAAACTAAACCATCTTTACCGGCTCTAACATGAATGAATGAAGGTCCTCCTACTGGGATCAGCGTCATGTAGAACCACCTCTCCAAAATAGAGAAAAAATAGACGAATTTCCTGAGTAAAACTGTAGAATAAAAGAGCAGTGCTTACATTAGCACATATGTAAGCATAATGATGAGGGGAAGAACTAGGAGAGAGGCAAATATCAAGCACCAAAAATACTTCAACATTCCAAATAAATAGTAACTACAAGTTAATAACACCTGCAATCAACTCATGGTCATTTTTTTCCATGTTTTGTTTGGTTCTATTTTGAATGAGAACCATCATGGCTCGAGCTTTGACAGCTTCTTAAGCTAGACAAGGTCTCTTCTTTTTTTTTTTTATAACAAAACAACTAACTCATTGCAGCAAGCAAACATATAAATTCTTCTCAAAGAAAGTATTTTCTCCCCCCAACCTAAACGATGCATTGTCCTCAATGTAAAAAACGAAATCACAAAGGTTATGAGATTACCTTAAATAATGAACTATGTCTATATATATATATATATTTTTTTTTTTTGAGCGTCAACAAAAATTTTATTTAAAAAGAAAAGATGAACCATGAACCTGCAAGGGATTATTGCCAAAAACACAAGGGAAAAAAATTACGAACGAAAAACTAACTCCTCCTAAAAGTAACATTGCTTTTATTATTATGTTTATGGGTCTCTATAAATAGGGTCTTTTTATTCAATGGACTCCTCTCCTCTTCAGGTGGGAAATTCTCCAAAACTGGTTTAAGACGTTGGCCAATCACTTTAAAAACATTACCATTCCTGGGATTTTCAATCTCAACGGCCCCATGAGAAAAAACAATTTTAACTATGAAAGGGCCGGTCCATCTAGATCTCAATTTACCGGGAAACAAATGTAGTCTAGTTTTATACAAAAGAACCTTTTTGTGAAGGCTCAACAATTCATTTGAGTACAAACAATATTAACATTAAAAACACATCATATACAATGACACGCTTTTTTCTTTCAAAACAGCACCCCTTTTCTGCTCCCTTATCTACAAAAATACGAAATCTTGCCTTTAGGCAATAGCAATATTATCTTTTATTCGATGAAAAGCTACAAACACAAGACCGTTGTGAGTAAAAAGGTATATATATTATGTAGAGGGTTAGAAAATTAAGATAAAAATTACCATCTTGTTGCACTGAATTCGAGCAGCCCAAGCACCCTTGACAACATTGCAGTCAGATCTAGTGTTCCTACTATTATCTGAGTCACCCAATATATATTACATAAAAGGAAAAAACAAGGAACAGAAGATGGGTAGTAATTAAAAGGAAAAAATAAATAAATATTTGAAGAGCAAAATCAAAATATAAAAGGACTGGAGGTACAATGAAATCTTGTCTAACCTTTGAGATAGGTTTTGTGGATGTTATGAGAGATTTCAAAGCAAACCGAGTCTTATGGGCCTGGTTGAGCAATTTATATTGTTGATGGCTCCAATGTAGTTTTTCTAAAAATTTAAATTAAATACATTAAATCACAATTAAATATAAATTGAGAGAATGAATATAATATCCAAAATTCCTAGAATAACTACGTAATTTTAAGCATTCATCACACCTCCCAACCAGCTTTAATTTTAGAACCTAGCAATTAAGGCGACTAAAATAAAATGAAAAAGAAAAATAAAAGCAACTACTCTAAACCACTTCCGCAAGAAATCACGATTGAATTTAGCACATGCAACAAGCCCTTAATCCAATAGATTACCCCTCATGGACGAGTTAAAGTCTCGTGTTTCCAAAGATGTTACCCACAAACATCCAAAAATTTCTTTACTAAAACGACTTCTTTCATTCTCATGCCAAGGTTAAAGAACCAGACATGAATTTCACAACCTTAACAAGATAATCAATCAAAGTTCAAAAGACTAGCAGCAAGTAAAGATATCGCATGACATTCAAAATTTGGAGTGTGTGAAAAAAGTTCAACCAACACAGACACAACCTTAGCCTTAAAGTGAAATATAACCCAAATCTCTTTCTGAAACATGCTTCGACTCAAATCTCACCAGTTATTACACTCAACAAATAAATCACTCAGAATATAGTGTAAAAATTACTCTCAATATATGCGAGTAGAATAATGTAAATCAAAGGCAAAATATCCCGCATACTAATTTTTTTGAAAAACGCTAATATGAAAAAATAAATAAATAGTCTCATGAATGGAATATCAAATACTGAGAAATAAAATTTCTAGAAATGTCACCCACAAACGTCAAAAATTTTCTTTACTCGAAGGATTTCTTTCGTTCTCATCCTAAAAGTTCAAGAACAAGTCATGAATTTCACAACCTTAACAAGACAACCAATCAAAGTTCAAGACACTAGCAGCAAGTAAAGATATCTCATGACATTCAGAATTTGGCGTGTGTGAAAAAGTTTAGCCAACACATACACAACCTTAGCCTTAAAGTGAAATATAACCCAAATCTCTTTCTGAAACATGCTTCGACTCAAATCTCACCAGTTATTACACTCAACAAATAAATCACTCAGAATATAGTGTAAAAATTACTCTCAATATATGCGAGTAGAATAATGTAAATCAAAGGCAAAATATCCCGCATACTAATTTTTTTGAAAAACGCTAATATGAAAAAATAAATAAATAGTCTCATGAATGGAATATCAAATACTGAGAAATAAAATTTCTAGAAATGTCACCCACAAACGTCAAAAATTTTCTTTACTCGAAGGATTTCTTTCGTTCTCATCCTAAAAGTTCAAGAACAAGTCATGAATTTCACAACCTTAACAAGACAACCAATCAAAGTTCAAGACACTAGCAGCAAGTAAAGATATCTCATGACATTCAGAATTTGGCGTGTGTGAAAAAGTTTAGCCAACACATACACAACCTTAGCCTTAAAGTGAAATATAACCCAAATCTCTTTCTGAAACATGCTTCGACTCAAATCTCACCAGTTATTACACTCAACAAATAAATCACTCAGAATATAGTGTAAAAATTACTCTCAATATATGCGAGTAGAATAATGTAAATCAAAGGCAAAATATCCCGCATACTAATTTTTTGGAAAAACGCTATAATGAAAGAATAAATAAATAGTCTCATGAATGGAATATCAAATACTGAGAATTAAAATTACCACACCATCACCCCAATCCATCATGTCCACTTGTAAACTATACCACACTCAAGATCAAATAGGACTTTTATTTGGTTGTAATGCTTGGGTTGAGGAATTAAGAAAAAATAATAAAAAGCCAAAGGTGAATAAAAAAAAGGACGTCTGAGAGACAATTGGCATAAAAATAAACACAATTAGAGCATTATTCCAAATGCCTTGCTCTTTCTATTTCTTTTCTTTTTGTTTTTTTCAACTTCCTCCTGCTTTTTTTTTTTCTTTTTGTTTTTTTTTTTTTCCCTTAGTTGAACACAATTTATTTCTTCTTCTTTTTTTCAGCTTTTCTCCTTTTTTTTTCTTTTTTTTTTTATTTTCAAGTCATATCCACTTATCAACTAAAAATCATATTCATGTGGCTGAAGTGCAGTGCAATGATTTCCAAATATGAACGCACGGAATACTTTAACAAAGTAGCTAGCATATCAAACTTCAAAACAATTCTCGAGTTAAAGTAATTAAATACCACAAGTATGCCCAATCACTCAATATATAGAACAAAAGAATACCATGAGCACTAAATTTTTATTTTTTTTTAACGAAATAACTCATAGCTGCAAGCAAATATATAAATTCTTCTCAAAATAAGTATTTTCTCCCCCCAAACTAAACGATGCATTGTCCTGAATGTAAAAAATAAAATCAAAAAGTTAAGGAGATTACCTTAAATGATTAACCATGTCTATATGTGCCATTGCCTGCAAGGGGTTAGCGCCAAAAACATAAAGGACAAAAAATACAAATGAAAAACTAACTCCTCCTAAAAGTAACATTATTTTGAATAACATGCGCAAACCGGATCATTGGAAATTTTGATCAATTATTTTGAACAACTTTTTGAATGGAGTAAAGGAAGTTGGAATCGTCGATCTCTAATTATCTAAAAACTACAAAAATGGTGTTTTTGGTTTCTATGACGCGCCACAACAAATGAAACACAAAATTCCAACAAAATCTCTACAAAAGAAGAGATAAAATTGCATAAGATAATACATGTATTAGCAGTTCACTCTTTGCATGTTTTTTTCCACATGAAACTATTAACAAAGTTTTTTTTTCCCACTTTTCCTTCCATTTCTTTTTCCCTTCTCATACAAGATCCACTGGATGCTTATCATGAAATATAGCCCAAATTATTGAAAGGAATTTCCAAACCTCACACATATGTGGGAACACTGAAGCAATCAAGTCAAATACTACATGGTATCAATATAAATAAAATATATATAACACCACGTATATCAGTATAACCAATTGCCCTATTTTTGTTTCATCATACAGTAGTTGAAAAAGGCGTCATTGCAATACATTATGTAAACAAAAACCTATGAACTACTCAATTCTCAATTCAACAGCACACCCAATTTTCAAACAACACAATTCAAATAATTTTGGTTGAAACTCATATTAAATTGTATGAATCGAATCGCGCATCATACAATTCTAACACCATACTAGTTGGACCCTGTAAAAGCCGTGTCAATAGAGTTATTTTGATCAGTTACTCATGAAATACAATATTCATTTCCAAGGAATTCTAGCAATGTAAGTGAATTTATTCTTAAGTGATAACTGAGATTGGAAATTACATGATTGTCGACTCTGCTAGCTGGTGCCGGAGGCAAGACGAGATCTGCTTCCAGATCAGGTTGAAGATATGCAGGCACCCCCATCACCTTCTATCTCCATGCCCATGTTAGCTTCCCAAGAATCACGCTCTGCATCACAACATCAAAAAGGATAAATGAAAAAAATAAAAACTAAAAAAAACTAGGGCCCAATTTAGTCTCCATTTCCAAGCAATGGTAGCAACATAAGTGAAGGAATTCTTGAGTGATAACTGATATTACCTGGTTGTTGACTCACTGCTCAGTTGAGGAATTCTTTAGTCTTCATCACTTGTGTTACTACTCGCTGCTCAGTTGCCATTGAATAAAAAAAGGTCTACATTAATCGCCCAAAAAACACATGGATTTATTACATATAGCCCAACAAACATTAATTATGTAGCAACTACCACCAATAAACTACTAAGTGAATTTTTAGACCATGTTGTTGTAGAAGTTAGACTAAAATTTCGAAATCTTAACAACAGAAAACTTCTAACTAATTTCCCTGCATTACTCCCTCAGGTATGATTTGAGATTGGCATGATTCTTTGCTTAGGATTTAGTTTCTTTATTTGAATGAATTTTCAGATTTAGAAGTAGAAAATAAGAAATATGAAACATGGATATCAAGTTTTTTGGTAACTTGTCCTCCTGTAACATCAGTCTTGCATTTGTAGTTTTCTCCATTATTGCTAAAGCTCCTGAAATGTAGAGAAGCAAGTTCCTCATGTCATCTTTTTGTTCTGTTCTTAATAAATATATGTAATTTATTTTATTGGAATGGTCTTAGTTATAATTCGTGTAATTGTTGTGTCCTCGAGATATTTGTATATGACAAATGCTAAAAGTGCTGGATATTGGGATTGAAATAAAGAAGTGTCTTGAAAATAGGTCAAACAGTTAAAAGAAGTGCATCCATTTCAATAAAAACTGCATTGAATTTAATAAAAAGTGTCTTGTGTTTTCAAATTTATTTTTTGGTCTACTTTTCGTGTCCTCGAGGCACTTGTTAACAAGACCCTTCATATATTGGTATTCATAATTGTAGTTTTATTTTATTTTCGTTCTGTCAATGCTACTTCAAAAATAAATTTTGTTCCTTATGTGATGCCACATCTTATTTTGTATGTTTAAAGTTATTACGCACCTTCCCGACCTTGTTGGAACAAAATATGGTATAGTAATTTCGTACTGAAACTAATTGAGCTTAATGGAGATTTTGACAACTAAACACATATGTTTAATTTCAAAAAGGAAGATCTAAAAGAATCCTTAGAGCCCGGTGTCAAGAGAAAATTGAGAAATTAATTGGCATGAGTAGTATTTTATTTTTGAGTTACGACTTATGTCTACAAATTGGCCTTCCTACTTAACAAAAAAAATAAAAATAGAATCATCTTTACCGACTCAAACATGAATGAATGAAGGTCCTCATACTAGGATCAACATCATGTAGAACCACCTCTCCAAAATAAAGAAAAAATAGACGAATTTCCTGAGTAAAACTATAGAATAGAAGAACAATGGTTACATCATCACATATGTAAGCATAATGATGAGGGGAAGAACTAGGAGAGAGGCAAATATCAAGCACCAAAAATACTTCAACATTCCAAATAAATAGTAACTACAAGTTAGTAACACCTGCAATCAATTCATGGTCATTTTTTTCCAAGTTTTATTTGTTTCTTGTTTGGTTGAAGGGCTATTTTTTATAAAATTAAACTTCTAAATAACTGAAAATCTCGGCGGTTGCCTCGCCCTCAATCTCCATCAACATCTCCAAATTACATGGACTACACTAACAGGAATTGCAATGTATGTATAACTCTGAACATGAAGTAAAAGCAAAATTAAATAAGATGAGACAAAAACAATACACATTTTTTAACAATGGAAATGTGGGGGCATGCATATAGGAGTCACCCAAAAAAAAAGAAAAAAAAAAGAAGCAACAACATTATTTAATGGGAACTGCATTTTTATAACTAAAATCTATGGCGGTAGTGATAGAAAATTATTTGTACATCCACAAGCAAAGATGTAGGCAAGTTGCACCCTGCCATGACACAATATACATTGAATGCTTTGATTTTCAAGCTTTTCCAATAGAAGCCTCAGAGTAATACCAAAACAAAACTTGTCTCAATTCTACTAAAATAACTTTTTTACCTTATAAGAGAAAATTTGGTCTATAAATAGAGTAGAAGTTTTCACTGTAAGTAGGGGGAACCAATGCACATATTAAAGCTGAAACACATATTAAAGCTAAAACAGAACATGAATTTCAAAATTACTATACAGAGTGAAAATATTGTGACATGCAACAAGAATAGAGTCAAAGTGAAAATATTGACATCATGCAATGCTATAGCAAAATACACATCAAGAGAGAGAGGAGAGATAGTGACAGTGGTGATTAAGAGTTTGATGAGGGTGTGTGGTCATAAATCAATCAATGGATAGAGAAATCAATACCAGTAAAAGGATTACCCTCTTGACTGACGAGTCATAATGGGCCTAGGGAAACGAGTCGACGCCCTGTTGCTACTTTCTTTATAAATAGCGCCCTTGGGTCCACTGGTCCCCCACTTCCGCCCAAACACACTTTCTGTCTCCTTGTCTTCTTCTCTTCTTTGTTCACACTTTCCAGAGTCTTCTTTACTTTTCTTTATACTTCCTCATGGCCAGCACAAGGTTTCTACTCGACAGGGCTGACCCACCCCCTACTGAGTGGAGGAGGGCCTCATACTTCGGAGGGCTAGCTGACCCTTTCTGGAAGGCAGTTGACTCCTTCATTCCTGATGCCCTTCCTTTGGAGGAGCCTCTGCTTCCTTTTAGTGAGGCTGCTTTGGATGATGCTGACATGGTGAACCCAGTCTTTGCGCTGCGGTTTCGTGTGGAGCGTGGTGACTTTCCCCATTCATACATCTACTATCACACTCACTCGGGCCCTTCAACAGGCTGGTCCCTCTGGGTTGATGACATCATTGCAGATGGTGGGTTAAAGCAGCAATTGCAAGATGTTCGTCTCTACAATGCCGTTTCGATTTCGAGGGTGTTATCAGTGCGCAAAGTACAGACCAACACTGATATGGTTGTCTCCAGCTGGAACCGCGACACTCACACTTTTTCTTTGGCTTGGGGGGAGATAACTCCAACCCTCGAAGATGTTGCCGTCCTTCTGCGCTTGAGCACTCATGGAGATCACCCCTTCGATCCAGCGTCCCTGACTCCTGCAGAACAAGTTGCTGTCACTGCCCTCCAAGGAGCCTTTCGAGAGGCGCGGAAGTATGGCTCTTGGTCTGATCTTAGGATTGGGGAACTACTCCAGGAAAGGCCCAAGAGGGACAAAACCACTTATCTTTCTAGCTGAAGCATTTCTTCAAGGAGCGGCAACTAGTTGTGGGCGACATCACAAAGGAGAGTCGCAACTCCGCAGTTGGGCCGGGCTACCGCAGCGACTTGTACTTGGCCGCCTTCGTCAATTACTTCATTTTTGTTTTTTTTGTTCTCCCCAGCAACCTTGCTGAGAATATTAACCCTCTGGTGTTCCCTTTGGCTGTCAAACTTTGCAACGGCAGCCAAATCCCTCTGGCCCCCCTCTTCTTGGGGAACTTATACTTCCGCCATGACCTCATCCATTCGGACATGGAGCGATCCATAGGCCCGCTATGATGTGTAGAGCTTTGTACACACTCAGTTCTTGACCGCTTTCTTCTATGAGAGATTCCCTGCCACAGGCCCCATCCCTAAAGAACATGAGCCTTTCTTCACAGATGAAGTCCTTGATGCAGAGGGTCGTCCTGTTCTAGATGCAAAGGGTCGACCTGTCACGAGGCAAGTGCGCCACTCCCTTCCTCCCTCGCATCTCTCGGTGGTCTGGTCTTGGCACTAACAGACCCTTTGCAGATTATGTAGACCACATGGAGGAATGTGTGTTCCGCCCTTTCACTCAGCTTCTTCCAGGCATTTATGTGGTTCCATTCTATTTTTTCGAGGCTCGCCATGATGATTTCTCCCTCGACAGTGTCCAGGCCAACTCCCTTCTTATTGCTGCCATGATACGCCCCGGATTTCTACTCGTGTGGAACGAGAAGGGCATGTCTAGCGTCATCTATCGACCGGGCAGGGTCCCTGAGCAGTTTGACATGGATCAGGGCGTCCCACATGCCCTTCCTCTTTAGACCGATTACCAACAGAGCTTTCAGCGGTTTGCCCGTGATTATACCGCTCTACTTGTGGAGGGCTTAGGCTTCATGGAGCTTCCCTCACTTGGAAGAGCCTTACTCCCAGTAAAAGGCTGTTCTGGCACCGCAACCTCAATTCTTTCTTCAACTTTTGCAATAGTGTTCCCGTAGTCCCTGCGATGGAACCCATCCCGCAGCCTGACTTATCTCTTCGTCTGCCCTCTGGCCTCAACAGACCAGTATATTCTGTCGCTTCAAGCTTCTATCCCTGCCTACCGTGGAGAAGCGTCACCCGTCTGGGGCAAATTGCTCCCCCTCAAGTCGGCACGACAGTTACGGACGACCCGCTCCAGACTAAGGGCAGCCCAAGAGGCAGCTGCATCAGTTGCCGAAGCACGTGCCTCACCAAGTAGGAAGAGACTCCGAAACGTACCCATACTTAGAAAATATTTTGCATTGCTTCCTTGGACTTCTTACGTTTACTTTGGTAATAACATAACCTTTTTTCTTTTCAGGGCCCACCGGCCCCGAAGGTTCTACTGCCAACGGACTTTCCTCAGATTCAGACGACGGCAACGACAACTACCTTCCCATTGCTACAAGGGTCACAAGGTTCAAGACCCACAGGGCAGTACTTCTAGATGTTTAAGAAGAACCAAGTGCCGGGACTGCACCAACTACTGAGGCTGAGCCGGTTATGGAGGCTGCAGAAAATGAAGTTCCCTCTACTGTGGAAGTTGTTGCGGGCAGCCTAGTTGCTGAGGGTGCGGAGCCTCCAAACCCTGCTGATTCTATGCAATCCGACCTTTCCTTTGTCTGCGGAGATGATTTTTTCCACGAGACCCCAAGGGAAGATAGCGGCATGAGAGAGCCGCTGGAAGTTGCACCACCTCCCTTTGGAGCTGCATCTGGTGGTTCCTTCCAGTCCACTGAGTCTCCATTTGTTCAGCAGACCCCACTTCCGAACGCCCAAGTGGCGAAGAAGAGTGCAAGTGTAGCGGCTGCTTCCACTGTTCCTGCTATAACCCCTCTAAATTTGGACCAACTTGCAGAGGTAGCTGTCACTTTAGCCACCCACATTGTCACTGCTGTCGTTGGGACCTCTAACCCAGTTACTTCGGTAACCTCTCAACAGCTGGCAGACTTGTACCCCACTCATTTTCTGGAAGTGCCAACTGACCTTGGGGTATCCCAAGATTTTTATACTGGGACGGATACCACTACTGTTCCAGATCTGAACGTTGGAGACTACCAGGTGGATAACCACATTTCGGAGCGACATGACGGTGCAGGCAGCTTCAGTCTTTCTCGCGAGGCTAGTTCACCAGGTCACTAACGCTGCATCTACCCATTCCAATGCTGTTGGGCAATCATCTTCAGGGGAAGTGCGTCGTCCTCAGACCTTTGGTCGCTCCACCAGTCTCCCTCTAGTGATTGAAGCTGGCGGGGGTGTTAGGGAGTCCCCTCAGCCCTCAGAGAAAGTTTCTTTTCTGTTACTGGGTCTCCTCCGTAGCTGTTTCCACTCTCGCCCCGCATCCAGGCGTTGCACCCCGGCACCTTTACTGTTTTTAACGTTCCTAGATCTATGGTGCAGACCGCACTGCTGGAGTCACTAGCCAGCGTCATTCGCGACCTTGCTACTAAGAAGATTCTGACCACCCCTAGCAAGTTCGTGGAAAGTGCCGAGGCAAACCAGAGCGGCTTTGAGAGGAACGGTTTGGACCTATCGTGGATGCGAGATAGGCATCAGGCAGTCGATGGTTTCCTCGAGCATGCAGACAACGTGGCGATGATAGGGCCAGTTTTGAACCCATCATCTACTCTTGTCAACTTGTAGTACCCGCTGTTGCTTGCCTCAGCAACTTTGCACGGGCCTTCCCATCTTGGTGAGAACTTGGGAATTGGTTGCCCCCGCATGATTGCGTCCACTGTCTCCCATACCAAGTCCCCTTTATTGAACTTCTTGTGCTGAACAGATTGATTGTAGGCACGAGCTACGGATTGATGATACTTTTCCATTGCCCGCGAGGCCCGATCTCTTCTTTCTTCAGCTGCCTCTATGTCATTCTTTCTGCTGTCTGGAACTAAGTGTGTTGACATAGCCATTCTTATTGAGGGTACTGCCAACTCAACTGATAGCACAGCTTCGAACCCGTACACTAGGGAAAATGGGGTTGTCTGAGTTGGCTTTCTCTTTGACGTTCTATAATCGCTACCCTCTCTTTGCCGAGGTGAATGAGATGTCTATATAATCGCTGCCCTCCTTGATGTTCTGTCTTGTGGGCTTCCCTTGGCCCCTCATTTGCCTCATCCTT